ATGTATGTTTTGTACAGCCATTGATCGAGACAAATGACTGAAGAAATGAAGCAAAGAGAAGAGAGTGAAGCGAATTGATACACAGCATAGAAGGTGTGTCAGTCAACTTGATTTAACTAAGCGTGAATCTATATTTATAGTCAGACAAAGATTAGTTACCGACGTATAATGAGTAAGATAAGAAATGCACACACACACACACACACACAGAAGCTTGCATAAAAACAGTCAAATTTAATAAGTGAATAATTACCAAGAGCAAAACGTGACTCAAAAAGGATGAATAAATTGGTCTGTCCAGAATCTAGAATAAATTATATGGACTTAGCATATATACCCACTGCCCGGATAGCTCAGTGGTAAAGTCTGTGACTGTGAAGCTCGGTGACACGGGACCGAATCCGTCAGAAAGCACCAGTTCCCTCAAGATTACAGGTACACCTTGCTGACGAGTGCCTATTAGCACGAAACCTAGGTTCAGGGTTTACTGTTGACTACCTCCAACCACCATCTAATCTCAACATAGTGCTCGCAGTGTTGAGTCACCTAGAGTGGTAGCTACATTGCACCTTGGTTGATAGCATTCGGTCTACACTAAGAAGGACTTCATACACATGACATCGATCACCACCTAGTGATCAATCAATTGTGATTAAACTACATAATCCCCCAGAACTCATTGACAGAATTCATAAATCAAATGAATCACTTTTTAATGATTTTACACCCCATAAATTCAGAAGTTTATTTGCTCTGATTCTATACAGTTCACAGAATATAACTTTATCAAAGATAACTTATCATATTCAAAGACGACATATACCCTATCATATTTATTGTAAACTGTTTTTCAATAAACTAATTCCTCGATTTAATTCCTCCGTTTTCTTTTTTGGTTTTCATATAAAGTTTCCAGGTTATTTTGTCTGGGATTTTTGAAAAAAGAAATATTAAAAAAATAATAAAAACTGTTACTTTGTTTCTATGTCAGTGTTAGTTAGCTACAACATAGGAACAGGCACAACTATGCATCGGTTCAAGTTGCCATGGTGAATATCATCTCAGCATGTGTTGTCAATGATTCCTGATTGTTGTTGTGTGTTTTTTTCTTTGTTTAAAGAAAAGCCAAGCTGTGAGACTGTAATTTTGAAAAAAAAATTAAAAACATCAACGAATTCCGATTTTTTATTATTATTTCGCCTGTAATAATGATTTACAAATTACAAATTGAGGAATTAATTGTTACATAATCTTGTTTTTTTTTAAAAATATTTTTAAGTAGTTTATTCAGTAGTATGATGGAAAATATGAGAAGTTTAATTTGATATAAACTATATGTGTGTATTCACTTGGTGTTGTTTCCTTGTATCATCATCATCCCATTGATGTTTAAGACTGTAATTGATCAGTCTGTTATTGTGAAATGTACATTTCGTGCGTATTGCCTCGATATTGCCGTAATTCACAACGTTTTTTTAAAGCAAAGATGAATAATGGCTAGCAATGGAATCCAGTTTGATGCACATTTCGTTCTATTTGGGACTTGTCAGCAGAATGTACCTACATCTCAGAGTTCATATTCACTGTGGGACTCGAATCCATCGCGTTAAAATGAGTCGTTTTGAAAATTGAAGGAATCATAATAAGAGATTTACATTTTTCGATTTGATAATATCAAATGGTAAATTAATTGATTGTAGAAATTCAAACTATTCAAACTGCAAACATTTGATATTGGATTCCTAATCATTTCTTGGATCTTCAGGTCTTTGGTATGCTAGAACTCCACATGGTAGACAAAAGACACGATTTATAAATGTTCAAGTAACGAGAGTATTTATAAGGTTTTCGGTAGCTTCTGACTTTTGGAAACATCTGGATTCAAATTCAATTTGAAAAATTACCATATTGTAATTTAGAAAAACATATATATAAGCGAACTTTATTGATTTCGATTAGATCTTCATCAGACTATATTCTAATATACAGTAATGTATTTATATATTCACATACGAAATGAATTAAACCAATGAAGGCAGTTTATGAGCCAAGGGTGATAACAGTGGAACAGATCACATAAGTGAGTGTAAAGTACAAATTGATAGCATGGTGACAACTTTACGAGTTGTGATATGAATAATAAAGGCTTGAATCCATGTTACATAATGGGAGATAGGTCATTGATTAGAGAAATATAGAAAATGGGATAACATTCATAATAAAATGGTAAGATTACGTAATAAGAGGGAAATGTTCAGATACCTGGACCATGAAGCGTAGATTTGAGGAAAGAAAAGAGTGGGAGGTGGTGAAGAAAAATAAACGAAGAAAGAGTATGGAAAATGATATAAATAAAATCATTTATTAAGGTCAGGGGAGAGATAAGCGTGTTAAAAATTTCTTACGAACACAAAGACTTGGATTGTTCGCTCGAACTCCTATAGCTTCTGCCGGGTGTAAGAGACGAGATCGAACACTATAGGGAAAACTAGTAAGAATACGATAACCGACTTTAAATGACTTGCTTCTGTCTATTACGTAAAAGCTATCGATCGAGCATGATAAGACCGAACTGCTTATTGTCTTGACAGTACCTATTCCTAAACACGAAGGGAGGTGTTTACTAAATCTGGTTTAGTTGTCTGGTAGCGCACCCAATATAGCTTATACCTGTCATCACACTACCAATTTGTACTTTACACTTATTTATTTAATTTATTCCACTGTTATCATCATTGACTCATAAACTGCCTTCATTGGTTTAATTCACTTCGTATATGCATATATAAATACATTACTGTATATTAGAGCAAAACCTGATGAAGATCTAATATTTTTAAACAAAACCAATAAATGGTTATAAACCTAAAGTTTTATGTCCAAAACAAACTTGTTCAATATTGGCGATCCATTTTGAATAGATGAAGGCATAGATATCTTTCCTCTATGTATATTCACAGTTCAAATCAATGTCATTCATATATCTTAATACGATCGGGAAATTGATTTATTATCCATCTATTGTTAATCATTGAATTCATGAGTTGATTAAAGTTAGATCACTATTGAAAACTTGAAATCAATGAACGGTTATTTCGTCCTAGTATAGAAGTCCTCATCAGTGTACATCCACGATCCCGTACTCAGGATTCAATGTATCATGTATAAAATATTTATTTCAATTTATGATTACATTATGATCTCTTTTAAATCACATTGATAACCATATTATTGATTTTCTGACGTTTCGTGGCTTAGTTTAAGTCACTTAGTCTGTCGTATGCCCTGATGGTGTTCTTGTAACTTTCGGGTTGCCTGATCTGCCAAGGGCGATGGGACAGTGCATGATACTATTGTTGTGTGCTAGGTTCAAAGAGAATTCTATGCTATATGCATGCAAAGTCCGCCCCATTATTGTTCATATTAATGATTATTAATTTTTACTAAACCAATGAATAGATAAGCATACTCAAATGAACACTACATGTTCGTTACTTCATTATTTAAAAACTTTATTTTCTAAGATGGTGGATAAGATTAGTAGCTTAAGTGGATGATTTTGATAGAATTTTGTTCTTTGGACTGGATGGTCTGGTCGTTCTTCTAAACGACATCATCAACACAAACTTCATGTAGACCTCAATCTTGATTGATTACTGTTAATATTTAACTTGTCATAGTTTACTTTATTTTGATTGTATCTTTCAATCAGAAAAATTATGGACAAATATAAGACCAAGAAACAAATTAATAATGGGAGATATAATCAAAAACAGAAGTACACTATAACAGGTTAAATTTTAACATTAATCAATTAAGATCGAGGTTTACAGGACAAGTTTTAAGTAACATATCAAGAAATTTGAACACTTCAATCCTACTTGAAGTTTGTGTTGACGATGTCGTTCAGAAGAACGATATAAGCTCCATAACCAAATTATCCAATTCAGGGAACAAAATTCCATCAAAATCTTTATTTTCTATAGCTTTAAATAATCAAATCGTGTTAATATGATGTAACTTCAATGACGGCTAACAGTAGGATATCAAGACATACATTTCATTCTAATTAAGACGATACAAATAAATAATACCATTATGAATTCGATCCATATTTTGTTATCATTTCTTCAAATGATAACCTTGATTGTTTTATATGAAAGTATGTATGTGCATTGCATATCCTACTCATGACATGTCTGTAACTTATTTTTATTCCTCTATCAATATCGATTTACGCTTAGTTAAATCGAGTTTGTACATATTCCTTCTCCAGTGCAGTGCACATCATTTCACTTCACTCTATTCTTTTCACTTTGTTTCTCTGTTCGTTTATATAGATTAACAATTATACAAGGTTACTGTGGGAAAGAACAAACCAAATCCCGGTGGAGGAAGAAATCAGGAATTAGTGCTGGAAGTGAATAGGACACACAAATTAAGGAAAGCAACCAACTGCATCACAAGACAAGCCCTCACATGGAATCCTTAAGACCAATGGGAGTGAAGAGGAAGACCAAAGAACACATTATGCCTGGAAATCGGGATAGACATGGGAAAAATGAACATGAATTGGATGGAACTAGAAAAGAAGGCCCAGGACAGAGTGGGTTGGCGTTTGCTGGTTTGTGGCCTATGCTTCATTAGGAGTAACAGGTGAAAGTAAGTAATGTAATTATACAATGTTTAAATATTCAAAATATTCATTCTCATATTCGACTTATTTCAATTCCATTATACACTAATACTAGTCAAATCAAAGATTGGTGATATGTTGTCTATTTTAACAGTGATCATTCGAGATGGTGGAGAAGTTTTGTAGCTTAGGTGGATGATTTTGGTGGTTTTGTTCTCCAGCTCAGATAACAAAACTCCACCAAAAACAGTGATCATTCATGTGATCCATTTCCAGTCAGATCTATGATCACTAAAAGTTAATTTACATCAAAACAAAACAAAAGAAGATATACATATTACAATGATTACGTAATTTGACTTACCTATTTATACCATAAGTGAAATCAACAAATAAATGATAATAGATTATAATGGATATAAATAATAAGATGATATTTTGATTCATTGAACAGTATTGTCACTATCTTCTATGTTTAGATAGATATAGATAATAGATATAGATAATATAGTCACGTCAATGATAACAATGATTATCCTCCAAGTGGTTATGTAATATCGTCAAATTAAAATTTAAAAAAAAGAACAATTTAGTGGGTTTCTACAATAAACTGCATGTTTCTCTTTTTTTCTTTTTTTGAGGAGGTGGGGGGCAGTTAGCAACAAGTTTAAGCAATGTAATAAAGAGGAACAAGAAGTTGTCTATGAATAGGAGACTATTTATAATAAAATTAATTGTTAGTATGTTTACAGAAGTACACAAATACACAAATACATATGTACGTATGCGCACAAACACATACGCACATGTACACATGTATCTGTATCTACATAACAATTTACGATGGTTACTGTTGAAAGGTGAGAAATTCAAAAAAAAATTAGATTGTGGGCGATTTGAAAAAAAAAACAAAAAAACTGTGATATCATTGGTTAGTTGTTTGGTTAAATTATTATGTCTATTACATAACAGGTTAATAATAGTAGAATTACTTTTGGATAATATAAATGTTACATTCTATTATTCAATGTATATGAATGTTATAAGAAAGATTCAGGTTATTCATAATTCATTCATTCATTCATTCATTACTTACTTACTTACGCCTGTTACTCCCAATGGAGCATAGGCCACAGACCAACATTCTACAACCCACTCTGTCCTCAGCATCCCCTTATACTTCTATCCCATTCTTGTTCATTCTTTTCATATCTGTCTCCGTTTCTCAGTGTATTGTGTTCTTTGGTATTCCTCTTCACCCTTATTGGACTTGAGGATTCCATGTGAGGGCTTGTCTTGTGATGCAGTTGGGTGCTATCCTCTCTCATTTCTTCCTCCACTTGGATTTGGTTTGTTCTCTACCACAGTAGATTGTTGCTGATTGTATCTGGCCAACGGATCCGAAGTATTTTGTGTACACAACTGTTAATAAACACTTTTATCTTTTTGATGATGGTTGTGGTGGTTTCCAAGTTTCTGCCCGATACAGTATGTGTTTTGACATTTGTATTAAAAATTCTGACTTTGATGTTGTTTGACAGACAGTTGTTTTGAGTTGCAAATATTCTTCAATTGTAAATATGCTGCTCTCGCTTTACCGATTCACGCCTTCACATCTGGATCAGATATTTATAGTTGATTATCAGACAATAAAATGATTAATAAGGATCGTTCAATCCGAAAAATTCAATGTAATGGATATTTGTTAACAAGTGTATCTATAATCTTCGAAGTCCATCTTAAATGAATTTCAGTACGATTGAAATAAGCATCAATCCATGCATATATATATATATATATATATATATATATATATATATATATATATATATATATATATATATATATATATATGCATGGATTGATATACCATCCTGTGACTCAAATTAACTCAGATTGTTTTCTCAGGGTGGTAATAATTAAACCCTTGACCTGAAGGTTAAGTTCATAAAGGTGCTGATTCATGATAACCATCGGCCAAAACTAGATTTATAGGACATTTGTACCTTCAGGATCCCGGAGCTCATATGAACTTCCAGTTTGAAATTCGGTTCTTTCACTCGGTTCAGCAATACTCTGTGGAAAACTTTCCTGGCACTGATATTAGTGTGATGCCTCTGCAGTTCTCACACTTTCGCAGATCACCCTTATTTGGTATGTTGATGAAGTGTACTTGTTTACAGTATGTGTGTGGCACTTGTTATTTTTAAATAGGAGGTGAAGCATGTTTGCAGTTAACTTTATATCTGACTTCAGTATTTCAGCTTAGATGTTTTCATGTTCTAATGCTTTATCTTGATTTGTCTGAGAGCTATCATGATTTCTTTAATCGTTGGTGAAGTGACATCCGCTGGAAGGTCTGTAGGTGCTGCTTCAATATCCGGTGGATTTAATGGAGCTGATCTGTGTAAGAGTTCGCCGAATTGTTCCACCAATCTGTTCCTCTGTTCTTGAATCTCCGTGATCGGTGTGCCTCCTTCGTCCTTGACTGATCTCTTTTGCTTACTGTATTTCCCTTCAAGTTTCTTCGTTGTATCATATAGTTGTCTCACATATCCTTCTCTCGTAGCTTTTTTACTGTCGTTGTTAGGTCTTCCACGTATTTCTGTTTGTTGACTCTAATGCTCTTCTTCACTTGCTTGTTTGCTTTTGTGTGCTCAGCTTGTGTCTTGAAATTTTCTACTCATGTTCGACTGTTGTTAATTACTGTCTTCTTTATCTTCCTTTCGTGAATCTCGCCGAGGTTTTCGGTAGAGTTCCATTCATTATGATGATGCTTTTTGCGACGCAGCACCTCGTGACACGTTGAAGTTGGTGCTCCTTTAATCCGTTTCCAATTATCCTCCGTAGTATTTTCATATTATTCATCAGATGACCATTCCATAAGTGCTTTGTGCGCTTCTTTCGACAGCACCTGTGCAAATCCTTTTGTTCAAGATGGGCCTTCTTAACAACAAGAGAAAATTTAAGGTTTGTTTTCGGTAAAAATCCTAAAGTTTCATAGAGCAATTGTTCTGGCAACCATAATTAGATGAATCCCAACGGTGAATAAATTTCAGAAAACAATACGGAAATTTAAATATAGTTTTATCTCGCCATATCACCAGCTATTTGACTGATCATACGGGTCTCTCAAAGTGTCCGAACATTCTTTGTATTTATGTTAGTTATTGCATTGGTTATGGGAAGAGGCATCGGCCTCATGATTTCCGAAAAATCTCGGCTTTCATCCTAAGAAGTCAAAACTTTCTGTCACTTGTTTTTATTTAACAAAATCGCCTAGTAACAACATATGAGATTAAATACAGACTTTTAGTCTGAAGAAGTCCGCTAGATAATTATGTCTTATATCGATCATTTCATAATTTTCATAAATTCCTATTTCTTAGTATAGATTTCGATCATTTGTTCATTTGAAAAACGTATTATTTCTATCCTTGTTACGCCCCGGTAAGCATAATGAATGGTAACTTCAGAGATTCATTTGTGGTCGAATACCACGTGTATACTCTTTGAAATAAACGATTCATATCGCAGAAGCTGAGATTTGTGCTCCGGGTTTAATTGGCTGGGCTAGGCGGAAAGCAGAACTAATCAGTACTCTAGGATGTTAGTACGGGCTTTATGCGTCACTGGTCCGATCGATAATTCACTACTCTCTAATTGGCGGTCATAAGTATAACAATCCTGCCCAATTTTATGTTGATTTTATACTACGAACTCAATTTGTTTAATCAAGCATTCGAAATTAAAGGGCACTAAATAATTGTTTCTTCCCAGCATGGGATTCTTCAGGACAAGCCACCACGACAGGTGAAATTCAAAGATTCATAATCTTTATTACCTTCATGTTATCCTTCTCTTTGCTTCGTCTACCTTCATCTTCCTTTCTTCTGCCGTTAAGTTTATTGATGCTGTGTTCACACTTTAAGGCCTGTCACTTTTCAAATGGGTAATTATTGTAATAAATTTGTCTACTTGAGATTTCATAGATTGAAATCATGAGTCAATTGAAGCTAGACCACCATGGAAAACCTGGAAGCACTGGACAGCCGTTTCGTCCTACTATGAGACTCCTCAGCAGTGCGCGAATCATTGACATGTTTAAACTGCTTTCTATAACCATATTCATGTATAAACAGCCTTGGCTACTGGGTACAGAAAGCCAGTAGTTTGTGCAATGGTATGAAGTTTAATTAAAACAAAACGTGTGTTCTAGAACCCATTGCTAGCCACTATCCATCTCTGCTTATAATGTTTGTGACTTGAGGCAATATCTAGGAAATTCGTTTAGAATACACATATGCTAATAAGAGACTTATCAATTACAGCTTTAAACGTCAACTGGAAGATTCAACTGAATGAAATGTCTAAATAACTTGATATTTTCAAAAGTACAACCCATTCGATAATGAAGGTAAAATGTACACATAGTTAATGAATGTAAGAATGACAAAACTTTGACTCTTGTAGAACGCTGACACCCGTATTCAGAGGACACTGTTTGATGTTTTCATCAACTGAGAAAAAAAATTTGTAATATGCTTATAAATAGTGTTGAAAAGCTTTGAATCACTTCTTTGTTTCGATTTGGATGGTTAATTTCAGCCTTTTCTAGTTAGTGTTTATCATTTTTGAAAGAAATTGATTATTACTAACATACTTAAAGAATTACTGGTATTATCATTCAAGACCGATTAATGAGTATAATGAACAACATTCAGTACAAAATAAACCAATATGTGATAGTATTGGTGTTCATTCATAGTGTGGTGTGTGCTACTTATATTGATATAAGTAGTATATGATGCGAGTCAGGAATGTAATGTCTGGCAGCAGAAGATGAGGAAGTTCAAGAAAAGAAGAGCAGGAATAGAAAGCAATTAGTATGGAAATGCAAGAACAATGAAGTTCGAGACAATTATTGAACATTTTGCAAATTAAGTATTATAGTGCATGATTTTTCTATTTACCAAGTAATGCTGTAATTTTGTGTTAAGTGTAATTTTATTGTCCCACACGTGTTCTGTTCACTACAATAGCACTTCAGTGGATAATCAGAGTATTCTAGTTAACAATTGTAATTTAACTGACCAAGCTATCAATCTTTATCGACTAAAAGGATTAGAACATGTGTTACACATACATCAACAAAGCTTACCTTGATACTCGAATCTGATTGGCTAGATAAACATTAAAACCGAAATATGTCAATAGTTTGTGATAAAGATTCAGACTTATTGATCAGGATCTATAGGATGATCATAATCTGTGATCAGAGATATTAAGTTACATTGTATATAATCGGTTGCACGAATATAGTTGAATTCATTCTCCATCGTCCCCTAAACATTGGCCTAAATTTCATGATTATTTTTCAATCATATTTGTTCTGGATAGATATTTATCTTTAATCTTTAATAGTTCAACTCTATAAATATAACCTGATACTTATTTATCCCTGTTATAACGGTCAGACTACTTCGTCTACATAAATGGGACGTTAATTTGACTTAGACGAATATCTACACTAGATTCCCTCCGGGTGTTTACTCTATAGCACTTCAACACAACTCAGATCAATAATACGTAATTAACCTGACTAGAATGTAAAAATATTTCCACACCGAAAACCAACAACAATCCGTCAATAATCACAGTAATAATAGGGGTAAAAGAATATCTAACTCATTTAACGCCTGTCAGACTATCTAAAAGTTTAACTAAGTAAACAACCAAGTATTATCATTCTCAGCCACACATCAATCCCAAGTTCTACAATGTTGTAGAATAAATCAATGAAAATCAGAAAATTGCAGATAAATATTCTGTATTTTGTGAACTCAGAGAGTTCTGGGTTCTAATCCCGCAAGCGAAACTATGGATACACACTGCTCAGGAGTCCCATACTAGGACGAAACGGCTGTCCAACGCTACCAGGTTTTCAATCATGGTCTAGCTTTAATTGACTCATGAATTCAATTATTAAAATCTTTCAACATATCAAAATGGCAACATAAAAAAGTAATTCAACAATGATTCACTGGGCAAATTAATACCTTACAATAAACATCAACCAGTTTCTAATCCAACAATAACATGACTAAAAGTATCACCATATTACACAAACGTATCTAATTTCTAAGAAACTTACATAATGCTAAATTTTTTCCTTTTCCTCAGAATTAACGGTCTACTACTATTACTACTTCTACTACTACTACTACTACTACTACTACTACTACTACTACTACTACTACTACTACTACTACTACTACTACTACTACTACTACTACTACTACTACTACTACTACTACTACTACTACTACTACTACTACTACTACTACTACTACTACTACTACTACTACTACTACTACTACTACTACTACTACTACTACTACTACTACTACTACTACTACTACTACTACTACTACTACTACTACTACTACTACTACTACTACTACTACTACTACTACTACTACTACTACTACTACTACTACTACTACTACTACTACTACTACTACTACTACTACTACTACTACTACTACTACTACTACTACTACTACTACTACTACTACTACTACTACTACTACTACTACTACTACTACTACTACTACTACTACTACTACTACTACTACTACTACTACTACTACTACTACTACTACTACTACTACTACTACTACTACTACTACTACTACTACTACTACTACTACTACTACTACTACTACTACTACTACTACTACTACTACTACTACTACTACTACTACTACTACTACTACTACTACTACTACTACTACTACTACTACTACTACTACTACTACTACTACTACTACTACTACTACTACTACTACTACTACTACTACTACTACTACTACTACTACTACTACTACTACTACTACTACTACTACTACTACTACTACTACTACTACTACTACTACTACTACTACTACTACTACTACTACTACTACTACTACTACTACTACTACTACTACTACTACTACTACTACTACTACTACTACTACTACTACTACTACTACTACTACTACTACTACTACTACTACTACTACTACTACTACTACTACTACTACTACTACTACTACTACTACTACTACTACTACTACTACTACTACTACTACTACTACTACTACTACTACTACTACTACTACTACTACTACTACTACTACTACTACTACTACTACTACTACTACTACTACTACTACTACTACTACTACTACTACTACTACTACTACTACTACTACTACTACTACTACTACTACTACTACTACTACTACTACTACTACTACTACTACTACTACTACTACTACTACTACTACTACTACTACTACTACTACTACTACTACTACTACTACTACTACTACTACTACTACTACTACTACTACTACTACATGTTTTGGGAAATTGTAAACGTTTAGAATGTTCCCTCATTAATCATTCGTTTTCTATTCACTTTCATTTTCTTTTTTTAAGAGAAATATTCTACTATTTTTAAATTAGCGATATAGAATTCATCATCATTTGTTTTAATAAATCCATTTGTATGTATTGTGTATATTTCATCGGTTGTATTAAACGAAGTTCATTGTTTTTGTCATAAATCTTCTTTGTGGTTCAAATGTTCAATTTTGTTTATATTAACTATTACTCATGTTTTATGTGTGGGTGTGGGTGTGCGTGCGTGCATGCGTGTGCGCGCCCGCAAAAAACGAAATCCATTAAATAATATCGTCATAATGATTTTATTGAATTTTGTATCTTTCTATTTTAATGGTGAAAACGAATGGTTTATTAATTAACAAAAATAAAATGAATAACGGTAAAGTATTTCATTCACTTTGTGTTGTTTACTTGTATCTTTCCATTGTTATTAAGGATTAAAATTGATTGGTTTCCTGTTGATATATGTGCATCCTATGCGGATTGCCAAGATATTGCCTTAATTCACAAGCTTTAGAGGCAAATATAAATAGTGGCTCTCGGAGGCGTTTAAAGCGAAAGGTACTGGGTTCGAGTCCGTAAGTGAACATTAACTCTGAGATGAAGGTATATTCAGCTGACAAGTCCCAAATAGAATGAAACGCATGTCCTGGATTCGACTGCTAGCCACTAACTATCATTGCTCAGTAAAGTTTTTCATTTAAATAGCTTGACAATTCATTTTATTTCTGTTATAACTTGTAAACCTGACTACCCTGTTTATTGTATAACACAACGATACGGCCAATTAGAGAGCAGCGAAATATCGATCGAACTAGTGACGCATAAAACCTGTACGAGCAATCTAGAGACCTGAGTGGTCCTGCTTTCCGCAAGGCCCAGCCAATTAAGTCCAGAACATCAATCTCAGCCTCTTTGATATCAGTCATTTATTTCAAACATACTGAGTTTATATGTCGACCAGACAGACCACACTGTACCATAAAATAGAAAACAACATTTGTACAAGAATCAGCCAGATGTGGCTGTGAATGAAGTGGGTAGTAATTAATAGGCAGGACATAATTCAAGAATGGTACATCATTTAGTAATAGTTCATAGGTCAAAACAAAGTTCATAATAAGAGGAACACTAGTATGAATAGTTTAGTTATTCAACAATTTCACTTCATAAGTCTGCATTGGATCCTCCTTGTTCATCGATGATGCAGCTAACCAGACACGTGAGAGATTCCACATCTTCCAGAGATTCTTCATCAATTGTGATTGGGTTGGTGTTCTCCGTGTTGTATTCAAGGATCTTTTTTCTTTTGTGTATGTTGAGGCCTACTAATTTAGAGGTTACTGCTACACTAGTTGTCTTTATCTGCATTTGTTCGGGATAGAAATAGTACAACAAGAGATAGTAGATAGTTGAATAAATGATATGATGACAAAAAGATATGAGAGTTTCAGAACTTGATTCCACAGAGTCAATTTTATCAAAACATGTTGAAAAGGTTAAAAAAATGTCTCCATATTGATAGAAATCAGTTTTCCAACGCTCAAAAGTAATAGCTTCAGCAAGCCGTAGAAGAATGGGGCTTGGTTATCTACTAATCACATATAAAGACTGCAATTTAGTGTACTTCTTCTTCTTCTCAATCTAAATATTTCAAAATATGTTCAAAAAATCTGAGATAAGCTGTTGAAGGGTCATAGATTGAATTAAAGCACTCTGCATGCATGATGATTGCATTGGTGCACGTTGATTAGCTAGTACCTATCCAATCAGTGCTAGTCGATAGTCAGATTACACTCTAGAATCTTATCATGTAAAAAACTACGAATATAGTAGCGTTTTTTTCCTATTGTGCTTCTTACTACCATCTAACCTTGTTATTTGGAAAATAATCTCTTTCCTGTTCAACTGTGTTCTGATTTGAGAACTAGTCGAGTGAGTTGGTGTTCAAGAATACTAAGGCAATAGGAATAGCTGAGTTGTAATAAGAGAGAATAATAACATAAACTCTTCTCTATCTCTGACCAATGTAACTTCCTCAGAAGGTACTTTTAAATTTTAAAACACATTTGATGATGATAATATATAAAGGGTTGTTTATTAACCTTTAGTGGAGTGATTATGCATGTTGTTATTTGCAAGATTAATAAGTTGACTTCAAAGTAGGTTAAGACCATATAAGACACACAGTAAGTTAGATATTAACACGGTTGGATGCCGGCTCAATGTTCTAATGGTTAAGCGTTTGCATATGAGACTGATAGGTCCTAGGTTCTAATCTCGCAAGGCGGGATCGTGAATGTGAACTGCTGAAGAGTCCCACAGTTAGAAGAAAACAGCTGTCCAGTGATTCCTGGTCTTGTATGGTAGTTTAGCTTCAATTCACTCATGATCTCAACTATTAAAATCAGATCTGACATTCAAACATAGACTAATCAACGACAATAATTGTGTGAAAACTAGAAAAAACTCTATATGAGAATGATTGTCTATTTAAAGGTTAAATATATGAATGTTCTAACAGGAAAGAACTGGGAAAAGCTTGGAAACAGAATTTTTTGCAAAATGAAATATTAATGCTATGACTTACGTAATAGTTAAAAGGTTCAAATAAGAATATAGAAGTAAGTAGTTATGATTAAAGTCTTGTAAAATTAAGTATTACGTAACAGAGTTTTTCACCAAGGTTATCATCATAGGGAAACAATATCGGTAACTATATTATTTGGATGTGTATATCTGGTTTAAAATCTTGATTTTTTTGCCTTGACAACTACATCAGTAAAGTGTATAATACATTCAACGTCTTATATCTTCTGTTTACTATGAAAAACTTTGAAATGACAACATCATATCCATTGTCAAATGAATGAATGGCTAGAAGCTAAAAGTTACATAATAGCAACCAAGTTAACAACTAAATAAGATGCAAAGATTAAGAAAATAAAATTAGATTTTACTTAACTAAGCGTTGGAAACTAAAGCTTTTAAACCAATACAAGACTGATAATCATAATAATTTGAATAGGTAAAACTATTCATTTCAATTTCTCAGGAATATACTAGAATATGAGAACAAAAAATCTTATTTCATGGTATAGGATAGTGGAGATTGTTGAGTTTTAATAGAGATCATGAACCGATCAATGTTAGATCATCAATGAAAACCTGGAGAAGTGGGACCGTGGATATGAACTGCTAACGAGTCCCATACTAGGACGAAACAGCCATCGAATACTTCCAGGTTTTCACTAGTAGTCTAACATTGATCAATTTATAAACTTAATTGAATTTCTTTTCTGGTTTTAAAATGTATGCAATTTAGCACATATATATATAAACTGGTAAATATAATTGAAGTTGACATGATCCAGGTATCTGTACTCTTTTGTAAGTTCCAAATAGCAAATTATACGATATTAATTATTTACTTACTTAAGCCTGTTACTCCCAACGGAGCGTAGGCCGCCGAATAGCATTCTCAAACCCATTCTGTCCTGGGCCTTCTTTTCTAGTTCCATCCAATTCTTGTTCATTTTTCTCATGTCTATCTCTATTTCTCGGCATAATGTGTTCTTTGGTATTCCTCTTTTCGTTTATCCTTGAGGATTCCATGTGAGGGATTTCCTTGTGACGCAGTTGGGTGCTTTCTTCAATGTGTGTGTCCTATCCACTTCCAGCACTTCTTCCTGATTTCTTCCTACACTAGGATCTGGTTTGTTCTGTCCTAGAGTAGGTTGAAATTTTACTATGTAGTAAGACCAATTTATCAGTTGAATAAGTACTTTCAAAACAAGTCTTAGTGTAGTATAAATCTTACTGTACTGAACAAGAACACTAGTGGGAACAATCGAATGTATTTGAACACAACATTATAGAGCATCTCACTAAAATCTGACAACCATATAGTAAATAGTTGATATGCAAAATATCGATCCATCGTCTCAAAATTGACTGTTCCTTCTACAAATATCAGTCAGTTGTCTCAGATTTAATTGTTCATGCATTTTCATATCAATTGCGTTCCGTTCCCGTTCTTTCCTTATCGATTTTCTACATTCTACGCATGACCACATTTATATACTACTTATATGGATATAAGTAACCTACACTATATTACGAGCTATTTTGTCACCTATGAAGCTAAACGGTATAAAAACAAATCTTTACATCACCATAACGTATTCCATAAGCTTCATTCAAGTCTTAGATAAACCTTCATGGATTCAAATACATACATTCTCAATGGGTACAAGACTAATGAACAGAAAAGTTTTATGTCAAATTACAGAATTAAACTTAGATAATCCGGTTTGAAAAATTATTAAATGAAAATAAACTTTCTCTGCAGTTTAACAAATATGTTTCCTAATTACTTACTTACGTCTGTCACCTGTCTCTAATCTATCGTCTTTTATCTAGATTAGGTCAAACGGGTTTCGCTGATCGCGAACACAGTCAAGTTGCATTTCATCATTTCTGTTGCTATTTGACTGCTCCACCCGGTCTTCTATATTGTTCGGACATTCCATTTAGCTATAAAAATTGTTGCTCTGGTTGTTACAAGGGTTATCAGCCTCGTAACTTCCAATGACTCTCAGCTTTCATCATGAGGTGACATAATTCTTTCTTAAACTCCCAGAGCAGAATTTAAATGAGTTGATTTGTTCATTCTGATTAACGTTTTTTCTTATAAAGGTTGTTTTCTACGGGATAGGGTTCCTAAACTCATTCTCGATCCCCCCCTTTACTCAACTATATTTTAAAAAATGGTGAGACTATAATTTATGGATCAACCAATCAGATTTACGATAACGGATCTTGGATTTCGGCGTGAAATTCATTTATCCATTTGTCTAAATAAAATCTCAGCATGATAGCTCATGTCAATTTATGATGAAAACCATAACATTTAGTCCCAACCCTAACCATTAACTGTAAGTTAAAATCCTTATACTTCACACAGATTCAAAACCCTCAGTTAGCTCTAG